ACTCAGGACTGCCTGCTTCATCTCCTGAATCTGACTCAGACTCTCCAAATGGGTCTCTCAGTAAGAATCATGAGGCTCCAGCACATATCAGAAAGAGACATCATTCCTCTCAGATTATTGGTAATCTCTCTGATCCCATACACACTCGAGGTAAGTATGTTCCAGGTCAGTATTCCTTTGTTTCTCTTTTTGAACCTAAGAACTTCAAGGAAGCAATTCTAGATGAGGAATGGCTTCTTGCTATGCAAAAAGAACTATCTCATTTCATCAGACTTAAAGTATGGGAACTAGTACCTAGCCCTCTAGGAGTATCTGTCATAGGAACTAAATGGATATTTAGGAATAAATCTGATGAACTTGGCTTTATAATTAAAAACAAAGCTCGCCTTGTTGCACAAGGTTACAGTCAGGAGGAGGGTATAGATTATGATGAAACCTTTGCTCCTGTTGCCCGTCTTGAATCCATTAGACTTCTGTGTGCTTATGCAAGTTACATGAAAATCAAATTGTTTCAAATGGATGTTAAAAGTGCTTTTTTAAATGGAGAAATAAAAGAAGATGTTTATGTTGAACAACCACCTGGATTCATTGACAGTGAATACCCTGATCATGTTTTTAAATTATCTAAGGCTCTTTATGGCCTCAAACAAGCTCCTCGAGCTTGGTTTGAGAAACTGACATCATTTCTAATATCTCAAGACTTCTGTCAAGGTGGTGTAGATAAGACCCTGTTTATTAAAAGGCAAAATAACAACTCACTAATAGTGCAAGTCTATGTGGATGACATAGTCTTTGGGAGCACTAATCCCAGCATGTGTGAAGAATTCTGCTCTATCATGCACAATAAGTTTGAAATGAGTTTAATGGGGGAACTCAATTTCTTTTTGGGCCTACAAATTCATCAATCCGAACTTGGTATTTTCATTCATCAAACCAAGTACCTGCATTCCATGCTTTCTAAATTTGATCTGGCAAATGTCAATCCCTGTAAAACTCCTATTGCATCGAATGCTCATTTAGACTATGACTTGAATGGAACTTCAGTATGTGAGAAAAAATATAGAGGCATGATAGGATCCTTGTTATACCTAACTTCCAGCAGACCTGACATACAATTCAGTGTCTGTCTTTGTGCAAGATTTCAACATCAACCAAAGGAAAGTCATCTAAAAGCTGTTAAAAGAATCTTTAGATATTTGAAAGGATCTAGTGATCTAGGGTTATGGTATCCTAGGTCCAACTCTTCAGCCCTTGTAGGATACTCAGACTCTGATTTTGTTGGAAGTATCACTGACAGAAAAAGCACTAGTGGTACTTGCCAATTCTTTGGTAGGTCTCTTGTTTCTTGGTCAAGTAAAAAGCAAAGTTCAGTGGCTCTGTCCACTGCAGAAGCGGAATATGTTGCTGCTGGGTGCTGTTGCACTCAAATCATGTGGCTAAAATCCCAACTTAATGACTATGGTATCACTGCAAACCAAATTCCTATTTTTTTGTGATAACACAAGCGCGATATGCATGTCAAAGAACCCTGTCTATCATAGTCGCACCAAACACATTGAGGTCAAACATCATTTTATTAGAGATCTTATACAGGCTGGTCACATTGAGTTAAATTTTATTTCAACTGACTTTCAAATTGCTGATATCTTTACCAAAGCACTCTCATCTGAACGATTTCTCAAATTATGTGATGATCTCGGCCTTCAGTCACTTCACTCCATTCGAGGAAATCACTAAACCAGGTGCTACTCTTCCTTTATTTATTTCTGCTCTAGACTAAATAAATGATTCCTGGTCAATTATCTTTACTTACAATAAGTGCTTATTCATGCATATGCTGGTTTAGTTATCTATGCACTGTGGTTTCCAAAACTTGAAAATGATACGATTGAGAGTGTCTCTTGCTATTCTTTTGCTCCTATAAATTCTCTCCTACTGATCGAACCTCTTCTCCCATCCTCAAACCCTCTCTACTCTATCCATCCAAACATGACAGAACTATTTACCTCATCCAACATACCTGGAGCCATTGTAACATATGTAGGTAGAACCTTTCATGAGCCAGTCGATTTCAACCTGCACCGCTTCAAAGAATTTTTTGCATCCCGTCGATTAGCTGATCCCATTACCCTCGATCTCTTTGAGTTCAAATCATATGGAGTTGATATCACTCCTTACATTAGGAACCTAGGGTGGGAATTTCTTATGCATTATCCGCCCTTGCCAGCCTGTCCTCTACCTGTTCGCATGTTCTATGCAAATCTGGACTGCCAAGGGATCACTACTCGAAAACTCTCCACTCTAGTGAATGGTTATCGTATCTCTCTCACTGCTGATGCCTTAGGAACTCTGCTGAATTTTCCTATCGGAGAATCTCTTCCCTTGGCACATGAGGACGAGTTTCTCTTCTATGATTTCGATCATGTTATCGAATACTCCCGCATTGCTCAACGTCCTGTTGCTGCTCATGAAACTGTCACCACTGCTGATCTAAACCCTGCTCTGCGGACCCTTCACTACTTCATTACACACTTCTTCCTTCCCCGCTTCAGCTGCCACCATATTGTTACCAAAAAGGATCTTTGGATCCTGTCCAATGCTCTCACTGGTCGCAAAATTGACTATTGTCAACTGCTGTTCGGGTCAATTGTTCGAAGTGCTGAGGCTCACTTAGGGGGTAGCCTTCCTTTTGGTGGCGTTATCACTCTTCTAATTTCAAATCTTGGTATTTCACTTGATGGTTACTCCTCATCCGACACCTCAGTATCCATTCCTACTATTGCTGTCCTTGCCTACATCAAGGTTGACCCTCTCACTTCGAAAGGGGGAGATACTACTCTTGACCCCGCAGCTAAAAGGCCTAAACCCTATTCCAAGTCATGCTCAAAACCTCTGAAACTTCGGGAATCCTCCTCTTCTGTGTGCAAAAATTTAATCATCGATTTCGAAGAAGAGGAAGCAGAATTGGAACCTGAAATCATTTCGGAGAAAGATATCAAGATGTTTGCTGAAGATCTTGAAAGGGAATTGATGGAGGAAGAAGGTGTACATGCAACTCAGGGGGAGCAAGCTGAAACTACGAATGCTCAGGAGGATAAAACTCAAGGAGAAGCAACAAAGGAATAGTCTGGGACTTGATTCAAAATTTCTGGTCTAAATAAAGAGAGTATCTTGAATCCTTGAACTCTGTCATAGTAGTAAAAGATCATAATGATCTAGTAGTTGTTTTTGGCTGGTTATTTTGTTTGAAAGACCATAATGGTCTAGCTTATGTGAAAGACCATAATGGTCTAAGTTAAGGCTGAATAATCAAGACTGTGTTGGCTATCATTTCACTGGAATTATGTGTCTCTCCTTTTCAAAGGAAATCTTTTATAGACAGGATGCTTCGATAATGGCTTAATGACTGCAGGGATCAAGGCTCGAACGCAGGGGGAGATTGTTGGGCCTGGCCTGAAGACATCATTGAAAGTCCATGTGATCCCACTCAAACGCACGAACCAAACGATGTCGTCAAAGCCAAGAGAGAGCGTCTTCACCTTCATCCCTTCAGCATCAGCAAAGAAAACACAAAAGAGGGGCGCTCCCTCGACTTTCCAGGTCTCGGTGTTCGACAACAAATCAAGACTCCAAACGGTAACTTCATTGATGAAGGAAGAGGCGGACTGAAGGAAGGCGATCTATTTAAGGAGCATTTCATGAAGAAGATCGGTGACGGTTTCCTCTGGCTTAGTTAGAACAGGTCTGTTCTCTGGAAGCCTTTGGTCTGGGTTCGAACTTGTAGTTTCTGGATAGCTGAGTTGGAGCTGTGGCTAGGAACTCAAGCTATCTGGGCATAGCTGCCTCTCTTCCTTTTCTTCTTGCTTTATTAGTTAAAGAATCAACTCTTGTTTTGGATTCATCCAATTGATTGAGTCCGTTCCTATCTTGTTTGGAATTAGATCAATTGAATAAACCCTAGGCGTCTTCTCTTCCTTCTCTAAGCGTTCTGTGAAAATGAATTGGGGTGCATAGTGATTTAACATGTGATACCTTGGGTTTCACCCGGGGTATCATAGAACCCACAATTATATATAATATAATTATAAACCAACAATAATCTACATTACATATACTAATACAATTTGAAATCGGCTAATTATAATAATATATCATAACTAATGCCAACATTCACATCGTACAAAATACGGCTAACTATAATGTACACTACATCCATTAAAAGACAAAACAACCCTCCCGTAGAGTGCGCAGAAGCAAGAAAAAATTGAATGGGATGGGTGGTGAGCTAGAATCTCTTTATATTGATTGTACGATACGATGTGGCTCCTGTCAACAAAGAATCAAAATCCCCAAAACAAAGTAGAGAGAGAGTGAGAATAGTTTGTTAGGGATTTGTTATGTTAAAAGTCAAACCTAATGAGAGAGAGTTGAAGGGTTTTTTCTCCCCCGGTTATCACATGGTGAAATCGTTAGTATGATTAGAACTTAGAATGAGTGGAATGCAAGAGAAATAGTTGACAAATCTACTAGAATAACATTAAGTACACAACCAAAGGGAGTATATTGAAAGATAGAGATCACGGACATGTGGTGAACCAGAGCGAGAAAAAAAAGCACAGGCAGGATAGATTCATACAATAGGGTATATAGTAAACCTCATAGTTGCTTGTACTAAAAAAAAGAAGCATTCTACCAAAAAAAAAAAAAAAAGAAGCAAGTGTAATTCCATCTAAATAATAAAATATGCTGACATGAGGTGAAACTTATTTACTAGCTATATCATCCGCAATAGCTGGAATCTCGCGAGACGCTCTTCGAATCAATCATAAATTTTATCGAGATAGAACCAAAATATATTATGTCATTCCAGTACGATACGATTTCACTGGGATCGAAAACCCTATTTCACAAAACACCATTAAGAAAGAAAGTAAAGAAGAAAAAAACAAGAACTTGATAACAAAGGGAGGCATGAACTTTCCATCAGAAATCAGATCAACTTACTGTTGGAAGGCGATAGGGTTTCTATATACAGCCCCACGGGGGACGAACCCTTCTTCCTTGTACGACCTATATCTCCGGCTCCGAATCGCTTCCCTGATCGCCGCCCGAGCTCTAGCCAGCTCCTCCTCGATCCTCTTCACTCCACTAGCATTACGTCTACTGTACAAAACCGTCACCCCAGCCGCCGCCGACGGCGGCGCTGCAGTCGGGGCGGCGGTGGATGATTTAGTGACGGAGAGTTTCCTGTCGATGAAGGGGGAGACGACGAATAGGGCATAGACGAGGATGAGGAAAATGGGGACGAGGGTAAGAACGTGGCAGCTCATTTTTTGCTCCACCACCGCCATCGTGGTGGCCGGAGGAGGACTATAGCTCTTCTTCTGGATATCGAGAGAAGAGAGAATGGAAGTTGAATTATAACACCACGGGAAAAGTGGCTTTTGGCAACACTTCAAATGTGTTGTAAGAAGTGGCTAAAAAGTGTTGCAAATGCAATATGCAACACTTTTACAAGTGTCCTCTATAGGTGGTGTTGTATAAGGTAATAGGTAACACTTTTTTTATATTTTGCAACAAAAAAATATGTGTTGCATATGTATACAGTATATGCAACAACAATTTAGGCAACAGTTTTTTACGAGTATAACCAACATCTATATGTTTATTCGTGATGGATTTTTTGTGTCGCATAAAAGGTATTCAATCGTGACAATTTTTGCTTGTAACAAATACTATATACTTGTGACGAGTTAGTCCCATCACAAAATGCATTTCAATTGTCACGGTTTAACTTGTCACAGAACGAGTCGCGCTTTCAATTGTACTTTGTAATAAAAGGAGGTTTTCGTGACAATAGTAGTGTCACAAATTCAAATTTTCGTGACAAAGTTATCCTTTCTATTGCAACAACATTGGCACAAGTTTTTTTTATTAGTTCCATTATACCTGAATTTATGGGGTCTTTGTCACGAAAAAACACTTTCGTGACTACTATTTTTATCACATGCGACAATATTAGTGATAATTATACATTATAGAAAATGATATACATTAGTGGTGATATTATAGAAACCAAAGAACAATGAAATGAGTGTTATGAAACTATGAAAATATAAGCAACTACAAGAGATGATTAGAGAGGGAAAGACACAAGAGAAGAGAGGGAAGAGTTCTTCTTATTCATTCTTCACTTTTGATACAATGGTGTGCTATATTTATAGACACACTTTGGTAACCACTACATCCTTATATCAATGCATATGAATGAGAGATAATGATGTAGAAATATGAGTTACATGTAACTCCCAAGTGAGCACCTAATGTGGTAGGCCATTGGTCATCCATATATCAATATTTACATAATACTCCCCCTTGGATGACCACTAGACTGCATTACGCTATCTCATACTGCCTCGTTAAAAACCTTACCAGGAAAACCCAGTGGGAAAAAACCATGGTGAAGGAAAAAAGAGTGCAGTGCGTATATGCTCCCCCTCATGACCACATCACTTCAAATCTTTGAGTCTTTGAACTCAAATTTCACGAGCAACTTTTAGAAATATTGTTGTCGGGAGTGAGTTAGTGAACAATCTACTAGATTGTCAATTTGATCCATGATCTTAAGATTTTCTTCATACATGATCGTCAAGATCATTTCCTTTGAAAATAGTTCACAACCACAAGTCCTTTAGGTATGGTGAATCACAAAGTGTAACGGAATATATTCAGGACTTGCCTACTATAGTTTGTTTGTTTCTCTATGAAACACTTATATCACCATATGTAAGAGATATAGCTCATCTCCGATCAACCAATATGAGGATCAAATGGTACATATAATTTGGATATATAATTCACCAAATCACTCTTTGATAATACCATAATAGAACAATCGCATATATTGTTCCTAAAGATAACAAAGTATTTTCCAACGTTCCATGGAGGGAAATATTGTATTTTGCTAATATTATCAACACCAAAATGATATTTTGTATGGTGTTTTGCTAGCAAGGTTCATTGGTGCTCTGATGCATCAACATATGGTACTTCAGGACCTACATCAACATTTAGTACTTCAGGACTTAATGATTTACTTCTTTCTTGTTGCATAAATGGATCTTGGTCACTTCTAGTGATCTTAGAATCCTAATGTTATTTGATGAACATAATTTGTTCATGCAAAATTATTTTTCCACTTTTTCAGCATTATCTTCCTTGCCCATCAAAGGATCTTAAATCCTTCAATTTAACTTATTTCTCTAAGCAATCAACTGATTTAGGAAGCTCTTCAGGAGCTCCAATAATAGACATATCATCAACATAATATGAGATGGTAAAAAAAAAAACTTGACTAAAACAAATTGAAGCAAGCAATTCTTTCATATCACGAAAGATATTAACAAAACACACATCATAGAAACATACGAACTAGACAAAGCACACTCATAAAACACAACTCATACTTTAAAGTAAATCACAACTCATAAATCAAGAATTTAAAATCCTTGAAGCACATACAGACAACACAAGTATATATGCACAATGCAAATGCTCTAATGACTCTATCCGGATTTAACCTCTTAAGGTCCATTCACCCTACTGTTGTAGGTGTTCACTTAGACGAGTATTTCACATTCGTCTATATTTTCTCAACCCATACAGGGGATATTCTTAGTCTATCATTATATATTCTCGAGAACTTTACTTGTTTACTTCAGGTAAATTAATCCTTCTGGGAGTTTTAAATATATTTAACATCTTCAGGGAATTCAAACAAATAGGCTATCACAATAATTTTCAAACATTGATTTGAAAAATTAGTTGCACCCACCACAGGGGAGTATAACTCCTCTTAAACAATGATAGGTCTTTTCGAGAAACCCATTGCAAAACATTGTGTTATATCTCTCACAATTTCATACTTTCCAATAGCACAAAAATTTGTTTGTATCCCGCTATTTTTGCCCTCTTTTAGGTGCAAGGACTTCTGGTCCTTAAACTTTATGCTCCTTGAGCAAGTTTCATGATTTCTTTCTATATTGGCCAATAACATTATCATTTTCATGCATCAATAAAGTTTTACTCTTGATCCTCACTTGTATATATCATATTCAGTACTGAAGTACAACAAACAAATTTCGTCGACAATGACTTCATTTCGGTTCCAGTATTGTAGTCTAATATGTTTTTGAGATCTCTTCCTTTTCACAACTTTCATAGACATGTGTTCTTCTGGAACTAAAATTATACTTAATTCTTGGTTACTCTTCTTGAGTTTTCATGTCCTCGAGTTGACCATTCTAATTATAGCTCCTTTTCTTTCTCGAGGATGTTAATCATTGGAACCGATTGATCTATCACGCTTCATGCGCTCTTTCATACACATTTTTTATTATATTAGAGTATCCAACAAGGATATCAAATTTAGTTGGAGCATTCACAGCTAGTATATGTGACTTGGTCACTTCGTATGACCAGTAAAGGCATTTGATAGTTGGTAATGATAATTCATCTTATGAACTTCAGGTTCATGTTTCTACTTTGAGGATCAAAACTAGATAATGATAACTCATTCCAACTCATCTCTTTGTCTAGCTGTTTTTTTTCCTCTCCCCCTTAATGTTGGGAAATTAATCCATCAAAACAATAATTTCACAAACCAATTTCCCATTTGGGATTCATACCCAACACAAATTCTCAATTTCCAACGAGAATCAGCTTAAGATACTGTGGTGGAGCAATTGGGATGTATGCGCACACCCTTATATTCTCATATGAGAAAGGTTAAGTTTCTGACCAAAACCATTTGTAAAAGGGGAGAACTTATGATAACTTGTTGGTTAGATGTGAACCAATACTATCACTTGCCAGCTAGCATGTCCTCGACAAGAGACCAGAATGCTCAGTTTGTTCTCTTAAGCAAAGTGATGTTTGATTGGATAACCATCACAATGTATCCATAGCTAGTGAGGCAACCAATATCGCAAACATCGGGTTGCGATTAGATAAAATACATGTGATCATCCATTTGATGCATCAACCCATAAAATTCACAAATGATCCACATGATTGATGTATTGTTCTGCATACATGTCCATAAAATCTCAAGAGATTTATCAACTCTTTTACAAGCGATGATCAATTGTTCTATTTTCCTTGAGAACAAACATGACATAATAACTCTTTTAGTTGAAGAGTTCTTTGCCTTCTCATATGATGTTCTCATGAATTCTCCAATAATTTGTTTCACATCATGATCCGGGATGGTCTAACCGGACCAACCAAATTATCAAGTTATCAAATCTTGTAAACTTCTGGTTTACACTTTTATGTGTACTGATTGTACTAATATACATGTAGTACATATTTGTGATGCAAATATTAGTTTCACTATTTTCTTGATAAGATATTCATTTTATGAATATCCTTTTAATTGGGCAATGCATCATCACTAGGTAGTTTGGTTCCTTCAGGCCACAAAATTAGCTCCTTTAAAGCTTTACCATATTTTGTACCATATACAACTCTTCCGGGGACTTATGATTTGATGCATTCTTAGTAAACACTAATTCATAGTGAATATCATCACAAATTGTTATCACGAGTACATAATTTAGTTACTTCAAGTAACCAAACATAAGCTTTTCGGAAGCTTTTCTTATTTATGTACTCTACCATATAGTTTATATGAAATTTTTCTAATAATCATACTTTACAAAAACATACTAAAATAATAAATGAGAATATTTCAAACTTAAGACAAAAATGATGAATTTATCAAGTTAATTGTTAAAGATAAAGGTTATCAAATTAAATTATACATGAAAAATAACGTCACAATAAAACATAAAAGAAATAAGAATCATAATACTAAAATTGTGAAAATTAAATAAGATTTATTTGGAAGATTACCATCACTAACTAGGTGATTTTAGATTTATATATGCGTTTAATATACATTATAATGTACAACAGGTACATTATGTTATCATGACTTTGATAATGCAATTGTTGTGTCATCCTTATTTATAATTCTCCTTTTTCTCCTCTTTTCTCACTTCTGGTGAAAAGATCTAAACAATACATTAACATATATATAATCATGTTTATAGCTTCATTCACTTCGGGGAATAGATTGTTTCATTCACTTCTGGGAATGAAAATGTCTCAAGTGCAATTTCATTTTCATCTTTAATGGAGAATATACCAACTTATAATACAAAAAATATGTTCCATAATATTGATATTGCAAGAGCGTATATGAATTAGCTTTTCCCTTTGATTCTTGGTAGAATAGGGTCTTTTGCGTACAACGGGTATGAGACAAATGCAATTTTCCATTACAATGGTAACATACAAAACCAATATTCTTATTACCATGTTTTTTTCTTTATTTGCCTTTGAATTCTTCAATTTCCACTTCTGGGGAATATATGGGCTCTTGGAACTTGCATTTTCTACATATCAATGTGGGATTGATAAGAATAGGATAACACAGAGAACTGAAAAATTAACTCATCACTTATATTACTTTTCTTGTTAATCCAAATAGATTGACGTGATAAAATATCAATGGATATGAGAAAAGAGTAGCGCCCATCTTGATATATTGGAATGAGATAATGTCAACACAAATAAGACAATAAGATAAGAAAGGATATAAGATTTACATACCTTGATCATATTGTGATCTTACTCCAATATACTGGATTGTGTAAAGAGACAATGACCAACCATGATGCTAGCAGAGCTTCGTGCTGATAACGTGTTATGAAACTATGAAAATATAAGCAACTACAAGAGATGATTAGAGAGGGAAAGACACAAGAGAAGAGAGGGAAGAGTTCTTCTTATTCATTCTTCACTTTTGATACAATGGTGTGCTATATTTATAGACACACTTTGGTAACCACTACATCCTTATATCAATGCATATGAATGAGAGATAATGATGTAGAAATATGAGTTACATGTAACTCCCAAGTGAGCATCTAATGTGGTAGGCCATTGGTCATCCATATATCAATATTTACATAATAATGAGGAATATTTATAAATACAAAGATTAGTAGTTTGACGAATTTCCAATCTCTCTAACAATATAAACTAAATAGTATCAAACAAAACAAAAAACTAATTATATTCTCTTTAGATAAATCGATAACTTCATGGAATTCTTTCTAAAAGCAACACTTCTCTTCTTCTGTTCCCGCAGCTCTACTTGGAAAGTATCAATTGTCAATGGCTGATTTCCACTGCTACACAACTAAATTTGCGTGAACCTCTTAATAAAACTCTACCCACAATGCCACAACTTCATCTGCCCTTAACTGCTTGCTTTATTTCTTGAGGTCGATAACTCGCAAGGATTACTTCAAACCTGTAAAGCACAGTTATGGGAAAGCCCCAAATAGAGAATTGAAACAATAAGATAATCAATTCACAAAATCAATCCAAGATCAATGGTTGTTCTTAGTTTCTCGTGAAATAGGAGATTTCGTAAAAAATAGAAATATTTTGAAAAAAAAAACAAAAAGAATAGAAGGCAGAGGAAAGTTTACGTTGGAGATGCAGCAGCGTGTGAAGAAGAAGATAAAGAGGATATCGTGCTGAGTGCTGACTTACCGGAAGTGCAATACTACTAGCTGCTTCTGGGCCGAGACTTCATAGCAGCGGCCGGGATTGAGGAACCATGAGAGAAGAGGAAAAGTAGAGGGAAAACGCGCTATGGAGAAGACGCTGAATTTGAAGGGTTTTTTCTCATTAAACGCACAATAAGATATTTAAGAGAAAAATCAGGGATTAACTATTAAAAGTACTTTCCTTTGTAAATATATTAGTCTAAGAGGGAATTGTGTAGATAATAAAAATCCTTCCCACATATATGATCTCAGTATCTCACAAGTTTCGCTAATTTGTAGTTAGAATAGTCTTCAATTCTATTTCCGTGTAAAACTAATTAACACCATTTTCTCTTATTGTTTAACCAACTTACATCATTTGTTTTACTTATCTTTTATATAAAAAACCATTCACCATTTTCTCTTATTGTTTAACCAACTAACATCAATATTTTTTTTTTGTATAGCCTTTTGATGAGGTTCAAAAACGGTCTTCTTGACTTCCTATCGAGCTCTCTTCCACTTCAATATGTAGAGGGACACTCCAGTTTCAAAACAAGTCATTAGTCTTCAATTTCCATCTAGCCAATTGTATGATATGAATATCCAAAGTAGGCACCATGAACTGTTTTTACACTGAAACAACAGATTAGCTCGACCTGATCCTATATGAGGTCGACCGAATTCTAAATGAGGTCGACCTAATCCTAACTGAGATCGACCGGAAAGTGCAAGTCACCGTGACATGCATGTCACTTTAGGCACACCCAATAATATTATATATGAACCGGTGAAAATTTATCAACGAAATAATATCATATCAATAGAGTACATAAATATGGATTTAGCCCATGATGAAAAATTTATTATTATTCTCTTTTTCTTCATTACATCAATCACATGTATATATATAACACTAGATTGTGGCCTAGCCGATTGGCCGGGTGGTTTTCATTTTTGCAATTTAATCTTTTCTTTGAAAATTAATTTATATTCATATAATATTCTTTACAATTCAACAATTTAGTGGAAATTGGAAAATATAAAAATTCAAAATTAAATAGGGAATTCAATTTCAAAGTAAGAATTTTAAATTCCATCTTAAAGTAAGAAGAAAGATCTCATATTAAACTACTTGGGGCGGGGCGTTGATGAAAAAAAATGATATTATTTAACAGTTGAAGTTAATGAGAAAATAAATGATAACCAAGTGGGACTTCGATTGAGATTCGTCAATTCATCGCTTTTACATTAATTGAGGGTTCTAAGTCAACATGCATTAAAGAGTATTATTCCCAAAGACACAGCCCCTACTGTGCACATAGACTGAGATTACTATTCATTTAGACCTAAATTTACTGTGTAGTCTCCCCTGATTGGTTGTTTACCTGTGCGTGGGCCCGATGGCTTTTCTCATTTGTGTTGTGTTTGGGCCAGTAGTTTTTTCCCCGGTTTTTTTTAGCTTGGACCGGATCTTCTGCGTGGTGCTTTGCAAAGCTGAGCACGTTGCCCACGGAGCAGGTTAGAGATCCTCCTCTTTCTCTGGCTTGTCTTTTCACGCAGCCCTCCTCCTCTCTCAGCTGTCGTTTGATACGACCTTCCACTCTCAAACATGGAAAAGATGGAAAAGGGGAGAGAAGATGGAAAAGGGTATTTAACAGCTTCTTCCTTCTTTGTTTTCGAACCACTCTCTCCTCCTCCTCTCACTTCTGCTCTCTATTAAGCTTTCTCCAATGGCGACTCTGTGCGCCTTCGATTGTGAGCTACCAGTGAGCAACTAACTGCTGAAGTCATGGGTGTCATGGGATTCGGGTTAGTTTCCGATCTCGAAGTTTATGTTTCGTTTTCTCTTCTCCTTTTGCCGTATTGATTTACACAAATCCTGTAGGGATTGACGGCAGCCGGTGATTTGAACTTGGTTTTTTCACGATGGGTCGATGTTGGAGAAGTTGCGCTTCGATTCCCTGAAGTCTCTCTCCCCGTCTCACAGCCCGCGCACCGATTTTTGGGGTTCTGCTCGATTCATGGTGAGATTCAATTTGCCTGGTTTCTTTCCTCTCTCTCAGTGTATCTATGTCTCTCTATGATTGGTTTGGGTTGCTTTTTTCATATATGCTTTTGGTTGTACCATCTTCATCGATGACCAGAGGCTGCTAGGTTGAGTGGCGGATTTGAGTGGTGCACGCGTGAAGAGGAAGATCTGTCGGTTCTGGTGAGCTTTCGATCTCAATTTTATCAATTATTGTTCTTTTTTCGGAGACTGATTCCCTCTATTTTGCTTCCAGATCAAATGTTATCGTCGTCTCCGCCAGAGATATCAGCGAGGTTGTTTTCTCTCTCCTCGATGGATCCAATTCATATCTTCTCGACTCCAGCTTGAGGGTTTATAGTGTTACGATCTTCTATTCATTCTCAGGCAGGCCTTCTTCACGGTGTGCCCAGTTGCTGCGATTGACGGGAAGACAAACCCAGCTGACGCGATTGACGGGGAGCGGCTGCTTCGGGTGAGTTTTGATGTGGCCTTCTTTCTCTCTCGCAGTCTCTCCATCAGCTGGCTCTTCATCTCTAATTTTCAATTTGTTTTTCTCCGTTCTTTTTGCGCTAGGGATTGACGGGAGTCCGGTCACCAGCGGTGGGTTCATACGGCTTATCCACGATCTGTAGAAGAAGAAACTGCTTCTGTACTTTTGTGGGTCAATTTGTTTTTTTTTTATGGTTGACTTCTCCTTTTTCATGCTTTCTTCTTCTCCTTCTCGATGAGTGCTCATAATGCAACGATTTGTCTCACTTTGTGACCCAGAAAAAGGATGCAGAGGATGGGGCTGGCTATGAAGAAACCTGTTGCTGCTGTGGAGATGGTTAAAGAAGATTCAATTGGGAGGAGAAAGGAACGGAGTGGCAACGACTTTGCACCCGGACTGTGCGGGTATTGATCCACCTTGCTTGCTGCGCTTCTCATTCTTTTGTTTGTTTTGTTGTTTCTTCTTTCCCCTGCTGGCTTATTCATGCCATTTTTGGTACCTCTTGGTTTCCAGTCTTTCAAAGAGCTATGAATCCTTTGGCCGAACTTGAAAGGGAGGGAGACTCCCTACTCGGGGAAAAACATCAGATGGGCAGAGGCTATTTTTATGCGGCAAGACTCTTTAGAAATCAGGTTTACTATTTTCACTTCATTTGAAAAGCACTCAGTTGGTTTGGTCTTCATTTTCTTTACTTTTTGCACTTTGGACCTCTCTTTCATTAGTTTTCCTGTTCATTGATGTTCTTTAGAGGCTACATTCTTTGGGTACAATGAATTTCTACAGGGTAAGAAATGTGTCGCTTATAAAATGGGGATTGTAAAGGTACAAGTTGGGGAGGGGGTTTGGTAGGTTTGAAGAACAGTAGAAAAGGGGAAAAATTACTCTTCGTCCATCTTGATACCAACTTAACTTATTAGTGAGCCAAACCTTCAGAAATTGACTACAAGTGTCTCCAGGAGATTGGCCACAAGGATTTCGTCGCAAGGCAAGAAGGACGAAGAGGAAGGCTAGATACAAAAGAGTCGAACTGCGGGCAGGCATGAATACTAACAACCATCATCAACCTCATCAGGTCATTCTTCAGCCGCAAACGCCACCACCAACGCCGCCGCGGCTGCCGCAGTACATTGTTGTTTCCCATTAGAGCACTACAGCATAAGATCAAAGAACTGGTCATGGAATCCCCCGCTCATAATTTCGGTGGTGTTTGCTACAAAGGTGAATTCTCCCCTTCTTTTAGCTTTGCAAGTTGGTTTTGTGTTTAATTCTAAATAGGTCAGAATTGATTCTTAATGTAGTAACTGTGAAGTTCAATGCTTTCTTATGCTCAAGGTGGGTGCAGGGAATTCATCTATAGGTCTTAGATAGGCTATTCAATTGAACAAAGCATTAGGTTCGGGTTGCTATATACATCATGATGCTATTTGCGGATTCCATCCTTCATGACAAATTGGCATATTGACTTTGATAATTGTGGATTGAATTGAAGGGTGGGGCAGTGCACCTATTTCTTCAAAGGAAGGGTCCGCAACATCTTTTGAATGCCGATAAGAAGGAAGCATCTTTTGTATATGTATGATGGGGAGATAATTATTTGGTATTTGTGGTTTCAGGATGTCTATCCACGGTGGAGAAGAAGAACCATAACAGATGGTGACTAGATCCTCGACGGGGAAATCAGAGTTCCGGTGAGATCTCGAACTCAACTTTTGTACCTTTCGTTTTCATGATATCCAGTTGGTGATTCCTTTTCCTTCCCTTGCACTTACAGATCTGCTGGAAGTCTTGATTGGTTGAGTGTCCGCCAATCGTATATCCATCGAAGAAAGTGAATTGGATAGATCGGTAAAGGTTAGTCACCCTCCTCTGTTACTCCATTCCATCTCTTTCTTCTTCTCCCTGCTCCTGTTATCTATCCCAGTACGCTTTCTGGTCTAACTTTTGTTTGCTCCTTTTGAGGGCAGTCATGTATTATGGAGCTGAAAACTTGAGGACGATACAACAGGTGCTGGAAATCATGATGATTGAACAGCTGGGAAGGGCCATAGATTTGAAGGTAGGAGGGTTGCAGTTTTCCCATTGATGCTCTGTGTTTTGTTAACTGCATGGTGTGTGGAATGTTTGTGGTTAATTTTCATGTTGTTGGTCGATTCTTAATGTTGGGGAAGTAACCGAGGCTGCAAGGTTGGTTCATAAGATTAGGATTTTGGAGAATCAACTGAATGTTATCACTTACAGCATAATAGTAGATGGATTGCATAAGGTAGGGCAAACGGTGAGGAGTTGATTGATCCAACATCTTAAGTTGACCTGCTGCTAAGTTGAGTTGCAAGTTGGGTTTACTATTGGTGGAATTCGTTTTTAACTCAATATATATTGGAATCACCTTTGTTTGATGATCTAGAGAAGAATAAGTTTTTGTTTAACTTAGAGGACTTTTCACAGTTTCTGGCTCATTAATATGCAAGATAGCTAATGTCAATATTCATTGTTGTTGGGGAAGTTTAGTTTTCCAGATTCCTCTTTTTGTTTCCTCAATTTGCTCACCATAATACCAATTTATGACTGCTCGAGGAAGCAATATGGGTGACATGATTGAGCATTACAAATGAAGAGGAAATATGGGGTAAGCATCACGAGAAATGATACTCTGTGAGATTGGTTTTGCTCAAGTGATTGAACAGGCACAATTTTCAGCTGTATGAGGGAATACTCTAAGCACCATAACAATTGAATACAGAGTTGCTGGCCCTTAAGTTATGCCCTTTAAAATCCCCAACGGCCTACACATGTTTATTTGATTATCATTTTGCCAGTGAATGCATTGTTTGGTCTTTTGGACGATGTTAGGGGTTTGCAGTCATTGGAATAGGCTAGATGGAGAGTGCTCCATGTGATCTGTTTATTATTTCATTGTTTGTGTCTTTTAAAATTGATGGTTAGGAATTTTTTAGGTCTGATCTCAGTTTTAGAACTTGGATACTCTAATTTTTCTTCTCATAGCTCCCTTGATGCGTCGCTTTCAAGTAATCATCTCTTGAATTTACTTATTTGTAGATGAACCATTGAACTGCCAGCAATGCTATAATGTGTAGGGTTGTTAAGAATTACTATTTTGAGCTATATGTAGGTAGGAGATGGAGTTGATGATTGATGCATGATGAATAATGTTTGGCCGGACACTTTATTAGCTTTCTAAGCATTTTCGCTGCTGTTTTCTTAGGATTCATCGGCCTGGAATTTCAAGAGAAGTGCTTTTTAGAACCGAGAAACTTACCATCAAGCTTCTTTCAGGGTCATCCACCGGCAAGAAGCATGAGGCGGCTCGCCTGCCTCTTCCCAAACCGAGGAACGTGCAACCGCCACTGACTGCAATTTCAGAACTTGAGATGCTGATATTTCTACCACCTATTGATGATCTTCACCTCATCTACAGCATGATTAGAGTGCATTTGCTTTAATAATTTTGATTAGTTTCTTTATTCGTATGTTAGATTCCTTGAAATTGGATTTAATGGTAATGGTTGGGATCCCTAATTTGCATACAGGTGTGTTATTGTTTTGGTTAAGTACAAAAGTGAACTTCGGTGATTTAGTATGAGGGTGAATTGGTCGATCGGGAATTATGATTGCTCACTTCGATTTGTATGGTTACTTTGATGTTGGGTTTTAATTGAGCTTCAATGATTAAGCATGAGAAGCTTCGTCGTTCTGAAATGTTGAATTGGTTTTTTCCCCTCTGTTTTTCCGAATCTTTTGTAACATACCATTATGATTTGGAATATTTGACTTAATTATTAGAAGAAAACATCAAATTAGCTAAGTTGTTAAATTGTGAAACTCAGTTTTGTGTTCTTAACTTGCATCTTTGTACTTATATCTTCATTTTATTGATATAAATTTTCATTAAAAAAATTTGTCTATATGCCAAAATGTACCATCCCCAGTACATTCCATGCGCTGCTATTGTAATGTAATCATCGATGTCATCATTCTTGGTGCATCAATGATAATGCTTAGTGTTGGTTGGCAAACCACACAGTTCTACATCCCATCAACACTAACGACACAAATCAAACGTACCCCGCGGCAGAGCGCGGGCTAATTCCTAGTTAGCATTATTTTCTTACTCAAAATGATGGTCAGTGTATCTTCAATAATTAACTTTAGACTATACCCAATTTTTGAACTGAATTTCCGTCAAGGGTTGACTTGAACATACATCAGTAGTGATAATCCTAAATGAATAAAGTGAGTTTAGTGACGATTTTCACCAAACACTTGCCAAAGCCCAACATTATTGCAAATTTGCAATCCATAGATGATAACTAGAGTTTCAACTACATTAAATAACTCGGAGTTCATGACAAGCACTCACCATACCAGTTGATCTGCTCCCTACCCCTAGACAGATAGATAGTTAGATAGTTTCCTTCTAACCCCATCATCCTTCTTAGGACCTGAGCCTTTCATCAGCTTCTGCTCTTTCTGTTGGTTCAGCAAACAAGCAACCACATTATCAGAAAGCAGGCTAATTTCTCTGTATCTAGTCCTCACATGGCTATTTTTTTTCTTTCTTCCTATCTCGTTTTCATTACTCGTGCATTCCCAGTCATTTTCATTAATGCATAACTAACCCTAACAGAGAGTCACAAGCAGAAAACTGTGCCAACTACCGAAAGAGTTGCCAGTTTCGTTAATATGACATCCATAAGGTTTCACATTAGAGTAGTGTTGTTATCACTTTCCTAATTCTGTTAGGATGACATCCATAAGGTTGGAACAAAAATAAGGATGGTAGGTTTTTATGTCAAGTTCAGTGAATTAATTGAACTGATAATAGTCTAGTGGTAAACCTAACCGAATAGAGTGAGTTTAGAGACTATTTTCACCCAACACTTGCCAAAGCCCAACATTATTGCAATCCTTAGACGATAGCTAGAGATTCAATTACATTAAATAACACGGAGTTCATGATAAGCACCCACCATACGAGTTGATTTGCTCCCGACTACTAAATTGGTAGAGAGATAGATACATAGACAGACAGATAGATTTCGATATAAAATGAATGAGCTATGGCCTATGGCCCATTGAATATTCGAGTAATATTTGAACAATGTTTTACCAACACACAAGTCAATCCCAATAATCCTTTCAGATGTCAAAAAATCGATTCAGACCTCCATTGATTATCTTATTTTGCGCCTTACTCTTTATGATATGCACTATTAGATGTCTCATTCATAGATTACAAACATTATATATGGTTTTTTAGTAGGGTTAATGCCACATTTGGTCATTGAGGTTACTAGAAAAATTTAATATCAACTTTGGTCACTAAAATTACTAAAACAGATCACATTTAGTCACTCTTGGTTAGTCTCCGTCCAAATCCATTAACAGAGTCCGTTAAGTGCTGACCTGGCTAACAGGAGCGCCTAGTCAATGTCGTTTTAGGTAACAAATGACCAAACCCGACCTGCCACATCACTAAATCGGCCAACCCATTAACCCAACCAGACCCAGAACCAAACCCAGTCCAGTTAACAACAAAATTGGACAAATGACATATCGGGTTTAGTGACATGGCAGGTCGGGTTTGACCATATCTGGTCCAAAACGATGCTGACTAGGCGATTTCGTTAGCCATGTCGGCACTTAACGGGCTCTGTTAACGGATTTGGACTGTGACTAATGGAGAGTGACTAAATGTGATCCGTTTTAGTAATTTGAGTGATCAAAGTTGATATTAATTTTTTCTAAGGACTAAATATGACACATTTTAATAAACCCAGTGACCAAACGTGGCATTTGAAAATGAGTTTAATATTGAAACTAAGGGCTCGTTTGCTTGGTGAATTTAAAAATGAGGGTTTTAATTTAAAAACCTAAGGATTTATCAAGAATTTGAGGCATTATGGATTTGAAACAATCTTTTGTTTGTTGAGATGTTTTGATCATGGATTTATGGGTCGTTTGGTTTTCGTGATACTTAAATCGATGCATTGTGATCAATGCATGCATTGTATTATACATGCGATTAAGAAAAATGTGTAAAGTAATTTACATTGTTTGCTTTGGTGATAGTTCTTTTTTAGTATTGAACTAGTTATATTACTTTTTGTGGGAAAGATCACTTTTGCCCTTGCTTTTATGAGGACATATATATAACTAGGGGTATAACTGGGACAAAAAAGGAACCAAACAATCTTCTCAAAACTATCTCAACAATCTCAAATTTTAGTAGAGATATTACTATCACTCAATTTGAGTGATATTTTCCATCACATCAACAAAACAATGAGTGTATTGTTTAAGTAAATAAACTAAAAAATGATGCATTGTTAACAATGCGCACATTGTAACAATGTCACCTAAACTATCATCAAAATCAAACAACCTCTTAAAGGTTTGAGATTTAGAACTTAAAATTCAAAATTATCTTACTAACCTTTTATATTTGTTTGTCATATTTATTATATGCACACAAACAAGGACAATACAAACTAAAAAACATAATGTTATCACATAGGGATCAATCTCCTTTTCTTCCATATCAAAATTAACATATAACAACATATATTAATACCGGGGGAAAAAAAGAATTCCATGTTTAATGAAAAAGTGAAAGGAAACTACAACACAAGAAACGACATAAAAAATTCCAACTCATGTTGTTAATTAATTGATTAATTATAATATACAATAACTAAAGGTGATGACAACCTTGAAATGTTAAGATTTCATGATGGTATATTGGTAAAACATCATCATGAATTTGTGGCATGTTCCATATCCCACATCAATACTTGGGATTTAAAAGTCAGCGGAATCCGCGGATTTGACCCTTAAAATATGTGACCCCACGAATTTGGTCACTAAAAAATGCACACAAGCAATGGATTTTCCTTACAAAATTGTTTGCCTCATGGATTTGAGGCATGAATTTGGGTCCAAATCAATAATTAACATGGATTTAGCATAAATCCATAATCAACATGGATTTAGCATAATTCATTGTTTGCTCCATATTTTAATTGAATGACCAAATCCGTGGGACACATGGACTTTGAGGGTCCA